TTCTTGGCAGCCAGGGCACACTGCTGGCTCATGGTTAACCTGTCGTCCACCAGCACTCCCAGGTCCCTCTCCGCAGAGCTGCTCTCCAGCAGGTCCGCCCCAAGCCTGTACTGATGCATAGGGTTGTTGCTGCCCAGGTGCCGGACCCTGCACTTGCCCTTGTTGAACCTCATCAGGTTCCTCTCTGCCCAACTCTCCAGCCTGTCCAGGTCACACTGAATGGCAGCACAGCCTTCCGGTGTATCCACCACTCCTCCCAGTTTTTTGTCATCAGCAAACTTGCTGAGGGTACATTTAGAGTTGCCTCTAAAGGCTGAGGACTAGTCTCCCTCTTCCAAGCACCTTGTCAATTCCACCTTCCCTAGGCAGGGATTCCAGTTGCCTGACTGACTTGGCCTCTCATTCCAAGGTGCTGGCCCTGTTACCCCAACATCACAGCAGCCAGGTGACAGTGTTCTTGCCTGGATGAAGGATGAAATATTTTTGTGTATTTCACAGCTCACCCAGAGATAAAAATCATGCCATTACCTCTGGTTCTTCCTCCTGTTCTTGTGATGACGCTGGTCCATATCCACCCCTGTGGTCTGATTTTTTTTTTGTATTTCGTCTTCTGTGTAGGGGCGACTGACTAATCATCACAGGTTAGTTCTCTGGTTCAGCTGCAGTGCCTGTTGTCGGGTTTGGAGCAGCTACAGTACGTGTTGCTGGGGTATGAGTAACTGCAGTACCTGTTGCGGGGATTGGGGTAGCCACCGTGCTTGTTGTGGGGGTTGGGGTAGCTGCGGTGTTTGTCGTGGGGGTTGGGGTAGCCGCAGTGCCCATCGCCAGGGCTGAAGTAACTGCTGTGCCCTTTGCATTTGTTGTCAGATCCGGAGACCCTCTCATGGTCCTGAATAGTGTTGTAACCTTAGATAAAACTGAAAAAATATTCCCAAGAAACACCAAAAGAAGTATTTTAACTAGCTACTGAAAAGTTATTGTAATGAAGGAGGAAACATCAAGGATGAGCGTAGTGAAGGTGCCGTTCTGTACTTCCTGCATAAAAAAACCTGAGGAAGACATGTAATTGCTAATTACCTCCACGTGGTGGTACCCCAGTACCGGTAATAGCTTCAGTACGAAGTGCAAATACCACATTAATCCCAAGATCAGTGTTCTAGTAACAAATCTCTCTGGCAAAACTAGACATTGCAGAGTATAGCAGCTTGCAAAAACCAAAGCAAATTTGCAACATGTATGGCAAAACCGAGAGCATAATGTGGATCAAGTAAACTAATATAAAAAACAGATGAATCAGATGAATTTCAATACGCAAAAAAAGCTATACACAATAGTGTCTTAGTGGGCATGCTGTTCTTGGGTGGATGGTTGGACTTCAGGTTCTTAGAGGTCTTTTCCAACGTATGATTCTATGATTCAATTTTTCTTGCCACCCAATGACCATTTGCATAGCGAGTACCTGAGCAGCAATTGTGGAACCCACAGATTTCATGGACTTTATGGAACTTGAGAAAAAGAAAAAGACTGAATTCACGGAAATGTTTGAATGGCTGGAAAAGAGCACATTCCTGCACCACAACCAACCCCCATTTGTAAATTGAGTTTGGTGTGCATACTATGGAATATTTCCACTGGCCAGCTTGGCTCTCTGGCTGGCTACGCTCCCTCCCAGCACCTGCACACCTGCTCATTAGCTGAAAATGAGAAAATGAAAAAAGTCCTTGATTTCTTAGCAACGACTGAAAACATCAGTGTTTATCAACATTCTTCTTGTACTAAAATTCAAAACACAGCAGCTACTGGGAGGAAAACTTACTCTGTCCCAGCCTACCATGACACATCAGGACATTTAGGAAGGCGTGCAACATATAGAATCACAGAATCACAGAATCACAGAACGGTAGGGGTTGGAAGGGACCTCTGTGGGTCATCTAGTCCAATCCCCCTGCTAAAGCAGGGTCGCCTACAGCAGGCTGAACAGGACTGCATCCAGGTGGGTCTTGAATATCTCCAGAGAAGGAGACTCCACAACCTCTTAGGGCAGCCTGTTTCAGTGCTCCGTCACCCTCAGAGGGAAGAAGTTCTTGCTCATGTTCAGACGGAACTTCCTGTGCTTCAGTTTGTGCCCATTGTCCCTTGTCCTGTTGCTGGGCACCACTGAAAAGAGTTTGGCCCCATCCTCCTGACACCCACCCTTCATAGCCCTTCGCTGGACTCTGTCCAGTAGCTCCTCATCTTTCTTGAAGTGGGGAGCCCAGAACTGGACAGAGTACTCCAGATGGGGCCTCACTAGGGCAGTGTAGAGGGGAAGGAGAACCTCCCTCGACCTACTGGCCACACTCTTCCTAATGCACTCCAGGATCCCGTTAGCTTTCTTGGCAGCCAGGGCACACTGCTGGCTCATGGTCAACCTGTCGTCCACCAGCACTCCCAGGTCCCTCTCTGCAGAGCTGCTCTCCAGCAGGTCCGCCCCAAGTCTGTACTGATGCATGGGGTTGTTCCTCCCCAGGTGCAGGACCCTGCACTTGCCCTTGTTGAACCTCATCAGGTTCCTCTCTGCCCAACTCTCCAGCCTGTCCAGGTCACGCTGAATGGCAGCACAGCCTTCCGGTGTATCCACCACTCCTCCCAGTTCTGTGTCATCAGCAAACTTGCGGAGGGTGAGCCCATATAGATGGGCTCGTGATTGATAGGTGGACTTGGCTATTGATGCCATTGCACAGGTTATCCTTAAATGTCAAATGTGTGCTGTAATCAAGTAAGCTAAGCACTTGAAGACTTTTTGCTATAGAGGGTGATGGCTACATATCAATATGGGGAAGCCTGAAAGATTGATTGTGTCATGCTACCATGAACACATCACGGCAAGCACAATGTGCTTACGGTGATGGAAGAGACTGCTGGATGATTGTAAACGTACCCTGTGACCCGTGCCACTGCCCGGAATACCAACTTGGGCCTTGAAAAACAAGTTTTACGGTAACACGGCACACCTGGAAGAACTGAATCAGACAATGGGACTAATTTCTGAAGCAACCTCAAAAACACCTGGGCCACGAAGCGTAGCATTAGGGGGTATATCACATCCCCTACCATGCCCCAGCCTCTGGCAAAATTGAATGATACAACAGACTGTTAAAAACTACACTGAGAGCAATGGGTGCTGGGACCTTCAAACATTGGGACACACATTTAGCAGAAGCCACTTTGCTAGTCAACACTGGAGGATCTGGCAGTCGCCTTGGCCCTGCCCAGTCAAAAGCCCTGTGCACTGTGGAAGGAGACAAGGTCCCCGTAGTATGTATAAGGAACTTGTTGGGAAAAGTGGTCTGGGTTATTCCTTCCTCAGGAAAGGGTAAACCTGTTCCTGTTCTTGTTTTTGCTCAAGGACCAGGGTGCGCTTGGTGGGTAATGCAGAAGGATGGGGGAGTCCAATGTGTACCTCAAGGGGATTTAATCCTGGGTGAAAATAATGCCTGACTTTAATTGCATGTTGACTGTAACACTGTCAATGCGGCCATCCAGCCAATTCCTTATCCGTCTAGTAGTCCATTAATGAAATCCGTATCTCTCCAATCTAGCTGCAAGAATTTGGAGTAGTGGTGGTGGTGGTGTCATTTCAAAGGCCTTACACAAGTGCAGGTAAATGACACCTGTAGCTTTTCCCTTGTCCATTGATGGAGTCACTCCATCGTAGAAGGCCACTAGATTTGTCAGGCATGATTTGCCATTGGTGAAGCCATGTTGGCTGTCTCTAATCACCTCCCTGTCTTCTTTATGTTTCAATATATCTTCCAGGTGGGTCTGTTCCATGATCCTACTGGGCACAGAGGTGAGGCTGAGTGGTTGGTATGTGTTCAGTAAATGTGTCATTCGTTAAGGAGTGCTATTTGGATTTCTGGATGCTTTTCACAAATTGTCAGACTTGTTAAGCTGTTGTGTGCTAGAAAGTAAACAAAAGGAAAAAAGCAGTTTGTTTCATAATATTGTGTTACTGACATTTCACTTCAGTAATAATCCAGGATTTTGATCACTGACCAGGTTGTGAGATGTTTGAAGTGAGATCTTCAGCTTATATCTCTAAGCAGTCTGTGAACAACAGCCTTGGAGAGATGCAAAGTAGTGATAATGTGCATTTCTCTGAGTCTGTGTGGTGCAGTTTAACCCTGGTAGGCAGCTCAGCCCCACCCAGCTGCTTGCTCAGTCTCCCCTCGTAGGCTGAGGAGGAGAACCGAAGGGGTAAAAGTGTGAAAACTTGTGGGTTGAGATAGAAACAGTTAAATAGGTAAAGCAAAAGCTGTGTGCACAAGCAAAGCAAAATAAGGAGTTCATTCACTACTTCCATAGGCAGGCAGGTGTTCAGACATTTCCAGGGCCCCATCATGCTTAACAGTTACTTGGGAAGACAAAAGGCGGAACTCTGAACATCCCCTTTCCTTTTTTTTCCCCCAGCTTTTATTTCTGAGCAAGACATCATACAGTGTGGGATATCCCTTTGGTCACTTGCGGTCAGCTGTCCTGGCTGTGTCCACTCCAAACTCTTTGTGCACACTAATCCTACTCACTGGGGGGGCAGAGTGAGACACAGAGAAGTCCTTGACACTGTGTAAGTGCTGCTCAGCAATAGCTGAGCACATTGATGTGTTATCGACACTGTTTTAGTCAGAAGTCCAAAACATCGCACCAGACAAACTACTGCGAAGGAAATCACCTCTGTCGCAGGCAGACCAGTACACTCTGTTAGCACTGTTCCATTTTGAATCAAAAGAATCAGGTGAAGTCCTGTGCCTCATTTCTGTATGTGTATGTTAACTTTATAACCTCCATGATGGATTAAGCTAATGTGTTTATTTGCTGTTAGGGCATGCTAAGGAGGTTTACCGTGGCTGAACTGATACAGGAGAGCAGCTAAAATTAACACTTACTTCATCATGATCCTACAACTAGGGTCAGGTGAATTTGCTAATTATTTGAAAGTAAACTTTCATGAAGATTAGATTTTACTTTTAATTCCTCCACTTTACCAATGCATTTGCCTGGTGAAACATTTACAGAAAATTGCAGTTATATACACATTTTTCCTACCATCAGCTATGTCTAGTTATAAATGTCACAGACTGCAGGAAAATTCAGAATTAGACATGTTGCCTTTGAAGTAAATGCCTTTATAGTGGTTTGCCTGAGTCAAACAACTTGGCTAAACCTGATCAAAATATCATTATAATTACTCACTCTTTTAGTTAACAAAGATGCAGCCAATGCTCTTATTAAGGCTGCTAAAAGAGTCTTTCAGCATTTCTGTTTGTCTTTTATTGTGGTTGCTTAATATGCTAAAACCATTATAGTTCAGAGCTGTGATTTGAGGTTTTCATATAGAATATAGGCAATTTAATCACAGAGTCATAGGTTGGAAAAGACCTCTAAGATCTTGAAGTCCAACCACCCACACAACACCACCACGCCTAGTAAACCATATCCTGAAGTGCCACATCTACACATTTCTTAAACACCTCCAGTGATGGGGACTCAACCACCTCCCTGGGCAGCCTGTTCCAATGTCTGACCACTCTTCCAGTAAAGAAATTTTTCCTAATATCTTATCTAAATCTTCCCTGATGCAACTTCAGGCCATTGCCTCTCCTCCTATCGCTAGTTACCTGGGAGAAGAGACCAACATCTCCCTCAATACAACCTCCTTTCAGGTAGTTGTAGTGAGCAGTAAAGCCCCTCCTCAGCCTCCTCTGCTCCAGACTAAATAGCCCCAGCTCCCTCAGCTGCTCCTCATAAGACCTGTTCTCTAGGCCCCTCACCAGCCTATTTGCCCTTCTCTGGACATGCTTCAGAAACTCAGTGTCTTAATACTAAATAATAACTGACAAATGTGACAAA